AACCGTCAGTTTATTTTAAAATAAATATTATTTTCCATTTTAGGGGATTCTCAAAATGCTATGCGGATAGTTTTGCCATGTAACAGCACCATGCCAGATCTCTTTAATGCATGTGGCAACCATTTTGACAGTATAGATTTTATGAACACCCTTAATACATCTAAAAACATCTGCAGGTAAAACTTCTCTTAAAGCCTATATGAATTCCAAAATCTGGTCTTATGCATGATTCATCATCCCACAGAAATGGTAACTTACTAAATCAGGTTATACAATTTGGCAGGCTCTCGGTAAACATGCTATTTTATTTGTGTTAACAATGTGCAAGCAAAAATAGAAATAATGTTGGGTTCTGCAATAATTTGGATATATTTTCGGCTGTTATTTTTGGGTTTCTTTCTTTCAGACCAACACAATGGCATAAAAAAATGTATGTATTGGTCATGTATGATTGTCTGTATATTGTGCATCCCTACATTTAGTATTTTAACTTGAATGCTGTGTTGCATTCAGAAATGTATTACGTCAGGGGGAAAAAATGGGCTGTGAATGCCATTTCATATTGAATGTAATAATGCCCATTGGCAACGTTGTTACTATGTCCCATAACTAATAGTTTGCCATCTTTCTACATGCTCCAGAGAAAAAGTCTCTAAATGCAACAAAAATTATCAGTCTTGCATCAATTATGTTAGCTGGATGTGTAGATCATTAGATACTTCATTTATATCCAATTATTCGGCTTGGCTCATTACAAGTAATTAGTGTCCTAATCTAGTTATTTGTCGAAAACTAGGCTGTTGATTAGGAGATTTGGCTATCGCACAGATGGTTTTGTTTTAAGTATAGTTGACAACTGTTTTGCACACACATCAGTGATTTAGTGAGGTATGCTATGCACTATATTTTTTTAATTTGTCAATCTTCAGATGACATCTGAAGACAGGTCTGTTTCTCAAAAATACATTTGCTTAAGTGTTCAGATACTCAACAGTTGTGGAAAGGGTAGATTACTCTTCAAAATCTCTTGGAAATAACACCTACACAATCTTATAATGATCTTCAGGAATATTATTCACTCTCAAAGTTTTACATACTCTCACTCTTCTTCAATAAACAGTCTACTTGAATTCAAGGAGGACATGGGTACTTCACAAAAATGATTGGAGAGAAAATCCTAGCCTATGAAGGGTCTGTTGACATTTAACAAAAGATTGAATCTGCCGTTACCTGTTGGAGTGCAATATATACTGCATTGTGGAGGTTTGTGTAAGGAAATGTTCAGACTGTTCAACTCTCTTCAGTTGATTTAATTACTTTCTTGCGTGTGGGTGTGTAGCTTTAAGAACATTACTTGCCTATCAGTCATTCTCTGTAGCATTACTTCTGGAATCACATTTTTGGCACATCATGACTTCTTACCTAGAGATAACAATCTTCAGAATGTCAATATGTTAAAGCTCCAGTCCGTAACTTGGGTTAAAAATTATCCAAAATAATTTTTTGAGCAAGTACATAACCAGCCAGTGTTCAAAACTATCTGCTTGCCTTAGCTCGATGTAAAACGGTAAGCTTCTAATAATGTTAATTCCAGTGGTACTGGTGAATTTCCGCGGGAGATTCGAGCATGTCTTTGCGTCATTACGTCACATCTGTACACATAAAGAAGGAGTCTCGGCTAGTAGGCTATATTGCGTGTGAGGATGTTGGAGGTGGAGATTTATAGCCTTTTCTCACAGCACTTGATATAATTAAACTTATCAATTTGATGGCGGATCCAGAAAGGTTCAAACGAAAATCACCAGTGACAACTGGAGATTCACCCGATGTAAAATGCAAAAGACTTTGGACTTCGGAGTGGCTACAGAAAAAGAGACTGCAACCTGCCCATGCGAAAACAAAGATAAATGTCGGAAGGACATTACATGTAGTCACGCAATGCTGATGTTGTTAACATTAACAATTTGAGAACAAAGTATAATTTGCACGGTTTGACGTGATATGATAAGCGATCGTTAAGATTTAATCAGCGCAATTTACTGCAATGCTTTTTTTTCCTTTAGTTAGAACAAAAGTGGATGTTCAGATGACATTCTTATGTTGGTCATACTTCCAAAAAGTAGAATCTGTGATTGCGAATGACAGTATCCACACCACGCGGTAACTGACAGCCGCACATTCTCCTCAAAACATTAATTCATCCGTGCTGTGCCGTGCCGAGGCACAACCCACGTAAAGTTGATAATTCCTCGAATAACTGCAATTGCAGATTTCAAACAGAGATGGCGACAAAGAGGAAAAACTACGGACTGCAGCTTTAATGTTCAATTAATTATGAAAAGTAATATGATAATTTATATAGTTCTTCCTTCTGATCTTTACATAAAATCTAGAATTAGGATTTTAAAGTTAGAATTAGCAATTAGCATTTAAAGTTTAAGGGATTGGAAATGCACTTACAATATCCCATGCTTCTTATGGTATGCAATTAGTTTACATACTCCAGAGAAGAAGTCCCTAAATGCAGTGAAAATGAACAGTGCCCAATCAATCATGGTGGTTGCCTATGTGGATCCCACTAATATCACTAATTTATTTCCAATTATGTAACTTGGCTCATTACTAGGCAATTAGTATCCTAATATAGTTATTTGTTGAGAAAAAACATCAGACTGAGATGACTGTGTTGATTAGAACCTGATTTGACTATTGCATGGATGATTTCATTTTAAATATAGTTGACAGGTATAATTATTGATATCGGTATCAGTATTTAATGATACTGTGCTCAAGTATTTGTTAAAATGATCAGATACCAAAAAAAAAATTTTTTGCCTTTTTTAGAACTGTTATTGCACAAATAGAACAGCAAAAATCCAAAAATGCAGGTATCAGCTAATACCAAAAAATAATGTATTGGTACTCATACTCACAACTTTCTGTTTTAATACTCATATTGAATACTCGAGCATCAAGCATCTACTTTATACTTCATAAAAATTATTATTTTCTCTTTTGTCCTTTGCCCTCAACTCAACATTTAATAAAATGTCCCAATCAAGTGCCTGTGGAATTGCAAAGGGAATTCCACATAAATCTTTACTTGCATAGTCTTTGAATCACACATACAAGGGGTAAATGGAAGCCTAATGAACACTTTTGTAATACAAACAATATTGTTATTACTCTGCCTTTTTATTCTTAGTCTAATTGTCTATGCTGAAGACAAAACCATTGAAGACTGTTTAGTTTAATTTCTCACCTAATGCCCCATGCGACAACACTGAGAATGCAACACTCTTTTGCATTGGCTTACAACTTGCGTTCTGTCATGTTACAGTATGCAATGACGTGGGAAATCAAGCTAGTGTAGCCAAAAGCATTCGTCTTGACACACTCAAGCTTTTTCACAGATGTATTTGACCCTTAAAGTGTTATGCTTTGAATTCTTGGAACCGTAGTGTCTGAACAGAACAGTCTGCAGCTCTTATGTGCAGTATACACTCCATATCAGACAAGTCTGATTGTTCTTTCATCCTTGTTTGTTTTCTTTACACTCATCCCAAACTTGGAGAGAAGATGGTGGATTTAAGTACATTTATTTGAGATTCTCGTTAGTTCTTGAATGAATAATCAAATGAGGATTTGGCTTAATAACTGGCAAATGTCTGAGGCACTTTGACATTCCCGTTATTACAAGATACATTATTGCTTTTTTCCCTGTATCCTTCTCTTCTACTTCTTACCTCCATCCATCCCCCTTGTACCCCTCTGTGATGGAGTATTAAGCGTTCTCATTCTCCTTCATCAGGGCCAGCAGGATAGGTGAATTAGGCTGGGAGATTGAGGCTCTAAGCCGCTGTAATGCAGTCATTGACTCTGAGGCCTGCTGGAGCTGCCTGACGCCGTCTTGAGTGAATTAGACGTGGCCTTCTATACCTAAGAGAAATGGGCTTCCACTGGCAAGGTCCTGACCGCACCGAGCGAGAAGAGAAACACACAGCTTGACTGGCAGCTCGCTCTCTTCACCCTACACTTAAGATAGAGCAGCCAAAGAATCTGTGATTGAAAGTTATAATAATTTAGAGAAGTACAGTGGTGCTTTGTGATAGCATGGCTTGACCCCGCTGAAGAAAAAGATATAAACAACTCTGTGCTGCAATGCCTTCCCTTGTCTGCTAAACACCAAGGAAAACTCCTTCCAGCAAAGTTAAGACGTGGTTTGCCAATGCAACACTTCCTCACGGGATGTATGTGTATTAGGATGCTCAAATGTCTTCCAGCAGCCGACTAGCCAATTGTTGTAAGCAAATTTATCACTGGGCATTGGCAAGTTGCTGTACTGGTTCATAGTCACCACATCACATAGCTGCTAATTTGCATAGAGAAATAATGTGCAACTTTTTTGACACAACATTTCACATAAGTCCTTAAGAAATGTGTTTAAATGGTTTATGTGACCTTAAATGCTCATATATTGCTGAGAAATGCTGATAAAAAGGATTCTAAAGTAGGGGTGGGCGACTGGCCCTGAAGGTCCACTGTCCTGCAGAGTTTAGCTCCAGCCCTAATCAATCACACCTGTAATGTAATTTTCTAGCAATCCTCAAGACCTTGGTTAGCTGATTGTGCTGAATTTAATCAGGGTTGGAGCTAAATTTTGCAGGACAGTGGACCTCAAGGGCTAGTGTGTCCCACACATGTTTTAAAGCATACTTATATTACCAAGAAACATGTCTGAAGGGTGGACATGATTTGAACGTGTCCAAATATAATGAAGAAACATGTATGATTGGTGTATATGACCGCAAAGTTTCCAAATATTACTAAGAAATATACCGGCTCAGTGGTTGTGACTGAGCCTAGTGTTAAGTCTTCCTTAACACCAATAATTTGTTTAGTTGTTCAAACTACCCACCCCCTGGTTGATTTGAAAATGTATATTGCTGCTGTGTATGTGCATGCAATCATCTTAAACAAAATCTCTTTATCCTCCACAGGGTCTAATGATTCTGCTCCAGAATCTACCTACAATGCACTGGGGAAATGAGGAAGTTAGCGTTCTCCTAGCTGAAGCTTACCGGCTGAAGTTTGCCTTTGCCGACGCCCCTAACCATTACAAAAGATGAGGCTTCGCCCAGCACAGTCACTGAATATGACAACCCCTACTGACCTCGGAGGCGCCACTGTCCGTGTGATGATACTGAAGTGAAACAGTGACATTTTTTATGGGGGTGGGAATGTGTACAGTGGACTTCAACTGTTCCTGGAATTTTTCCACACTTCTACTAATATAAGCACTCCGAATGCCATGAGTCAACCGGATGTCAAAATCATGCGCTCTTCAAATACACTCATTTAATCTGTTTCTTTTTTTTTCTTCTTCTTCTTGAATTTAATCTCAACCAATTCCAAGATTTTGTTTTTTCATGCACTGAATCTGCATAAAAGTTAATTTAGACGGCAGGATTCCGCAATACTAGAATGGAACAGTAGGATGGATGCTGGCCCAATTGATTCATGGCAATAATCAGACATTACTGAGAAAACATGGTTTATAAACATTCGCAGTAAGATCGTTTGGTTTAAACAGCGCCTACGAACTCTTATTTTAACCATCGTCTACCTCAGGAAGTGGCCAGAATATGTAGGGTGATCATTTTGTCTCTATGTTAGAACAGTGTCCATGAGGCATTGGAATGGAGTCAATGAAATTTGCCTTATTTTGGCTGATTGAGTTTTGCGAGGCACAGGTTCAGTCAACAAGGGCAGCTGGAGACGAAAACTGAAGAACTGATTCAATTTCTGTTGCTCATGGCACTGTCATTTTCACGTCCCTTTTCGATATAGATATAATAATCTGTACTGACTGTACAAGGCTATCATTAATAGATGTGTTTGGGGATATCAGCTTCCGACTCTTGACATTTTGTCAGTATTTGAACAGTGCGCTGCTTCAATCATGTCATCAGGCTTTTAAATTTGTGTGCCAGTTCTTACAACTAAATAGAAGTGAAACTGCACTTGATAAGTATATTTTCATTCTTTTTGTACAAGATATATTCTATAAATCAGCTTTTTTTAATTGTTTTTTCTTTTTTATATACTGTTTACATGAGCCTGTTAAGTTGTGCCTAACTCTAGAGATTGACGACATCACAGATATTTATTTTACATGCATGATCATTTAGGATGTGGCAAAGCAGAATATTTGCCTTTACAACATTCACTTCTGCATAAACAGTGAATTCAGCAGCTTGGTATATACTTGGTATCTTTTGGCTGTTCGATGGGCCATGGAATTGAAAAAGTTTACTGTAACTGACATTCAGTGCCTGGACAAAATGGAGTTCAAGCTACGTGGGGTTGCTGGGAGATTTTCTGGATACCAAGCTTCTTGACTTAGTTTCTTGACTTCAACCTACAGAAATGTCAGAATGGATTTTAAAAGAGGTGTGAATGAAATGATCTTGAATTAAATAGCTTTGTACAGAATTATCATGTTTTTCAAAGATATGTAAATAGAAAAATGTGTAAATAAATACTATATATATAAATATATATATGATTATCATTTGTTGAGTTTTTACATTTTTGGTTTGTTTAACATTGTTGTGTGTGGTTTTTCACGGTCATTTAGTACTGTATTGCATTGCATCGGAAATCTTCAGTAACATACTGTAAACAGCTATATTCAGACTTATACAGTAGGAAGCTGTTAAGAATACAGTAATAATGCTGTAAAAATGGGGGGGGAAATCTACAGTATCATACTGTAAACAGCTACACTCACCTAAAGGATTATTAGGAACACCATACTAATACTGTGTTTGACTCCCTTTCGCCTTCAGAACTGCCTTAATTATACGTGGCATTGATTCAAGAAGGTGCTGAAAGCATTCTTTAGAAATGTTGGCCCATATTGTTAGGATAGTATCTTGCAGTTGATGGAGATTTGTGGGATGCACATCCAGGGCATGAAGCTCCTGTTCCACCACATCCCAAAGATGCTCTATTGGGTTGAGATCTGGTGACTGTGGGGGCCATTTTAGTACAGTGAACTCATTGGCATGTTCAAGAAACCAATTTGAAATGATTCGAGCTTTGTGACATTTGTGCATTATCCTGCTGGAAGTAGCCATCAGAGGATGGGTACATGGTGGCCATAAAGGGATGGACATGGTCAGAAACAATGCTCAGGTAGGCCGTGACATTTAAACGATGCCCAATTGGCACTAAGGGGCCTAAAGTGTGCCAAGAAAACATCCCCCACACCATCACACCATCACCACCAGCCTGCACAGTGGTAACAAGGCATGATGGATCCATGTTCTCATTCTGTTTACGCCAAATTCTGACTCTACCATCTGAATGTCTCAACAGAAATCGAGACTCATCAGACCAGGCAACATTTTTCCAGTCTTCAACTGTCCAATTTTGGTGAGCTGTTGCAAATTGTAGCCTCTTTTTCCTATTTGTAGTGGAGATGAGTGGTACCCGGTGGGGTCTTCTGCTGTTGTAGCCCATCCGCCTCAAGGTTGTGCGTGTTGTGGCTTCACAAATGCTTTGCTGCATACCTTTTGCATACATTTTCGCCCACAGGACTGCCGCATACTGGATGTTTTTCCTTTTTCACACCATTCTTTGCAAACCCTAGAAATGGTTGTGCGTGAAAATCCCAGTAACTGAGCAGATTGTAAAATACTCAGACCGGCCCGTCTGGCACCAACAACCATGCCACGCTCAAAATTGCTTAAATCACCTTTCTTTCCCATTCTGACATTCAGTTTGGAGTTCAGGAGATTGTCTTGACCAGGACCACACCCCTAAATGCATTGAAGCAACTGCCATGTGATTGGTTGATTAGATGATTGCATTAATGAGAAATTGAACAGGTGTTCCTAATAATCCTTTAGGTGAGTGTATATTCAGACTTATACAGTAGGAAACTGTTAAGAATACAGTAATAATGCTGTAAAAATGTAAAAAAAAATCTATAGTATCATACTGTAAACAGCTTACAGTAGGAAACTGTTGCGAATACAGTAATATTACTGTGAAAACAACATAAATCATTTACAGTGTGACTAATGTAAATTGGAATAATGATTACATTTTGGGGGTTTTTTTCAATAGCAAAAGAATCATGTGTCACAAGTACAAGAACACATATATTTCTTGAAGTTAAATTCAATGAGCGTTTAACATTTTATTTGTAAGGACAATAGAGATGGGGTGATCAGGACTTTGGTGTGAAGCGAATCAAAAAATTAAAAACAAACACATGTATTATCAATATATACTTTTTTGTGTGTTTGTGAGAAGAGAGTAAAAATGGAAAAAGCCAATTTCACAAAATTAACTTTAATCAGAGACTTCGATCAGACTTGTCTTGCCCTGTATCACCCTTAGAAATCTCAGATCCATGCTGTACCCTCATTAAAGCCATTTCAAACCCATGTTTTCAAAATCACCATCATTTTGACTGTTTTATATGGGGTAGGAAGCAGTCAGGTCCCTGTGGTCGCGTGCTGCAGGTTTGCTGATTAGAGTCTTAATATGCGTTCTGCATGCAGGGCGGGAGTTCCTCTCATTAGACTGACTGATGTTCACAGTGGCAGGTAATTAACGGCCCGCAGCAGCTCTGCCAGGCCATTCACATGAATTAAAAACACATTCAAATCACCATGGCGCCTGCATCTGTGATGTGCCATAAAATGAGAACCTGGAAAAGTGATGGGATATGGAGTTTATCAACACAGAATGAATGCCGAGCTGAAAGAGTGAAGGTTTTTTTTTTTTTCACTAATACTATTTTAATATTAAACAGATAGCACACGTACGTCTGCAAGATGTCTATTAAAGATCACTTCTTCTGGAAAGCATCTGCTGTTTACTAACATCTGATAGACGTCTTTAAGATGTAAGTTTTACATTCTAAATCATAAACATCTTAAAGACATTTTCTAAACGTCTATTTGACATCTGACAGGAAACGTTCTATAGACGTATTGCAGATGAGCAAAACATTTTACATCTTCCAGATGTAAACAAACACATCAAGTAGACGTCTCCGTGATGTACGTGTGCTATCAGATACAATTAATTCAAGATATTACCAAAAAAAAAAAAAAAAAACATAACTACAATGCTTAGTCACCTGAATTACCCCGGTCTGACGCATCAATCTTTCCCCATCCAGCCGCACTCACAGACTTTAGCATTTAGCACTTTAATTAGCATTATAGCCAGATAGCATACAATGTCAAAATGACTGAAGCCTCCTGCTAACCAGCAAAGAAAAAGAAAAGGAGAAGTGGAAGAAAATGGGGATAAAGACAAAGGTAATGTGATGTAATGAATGAACAGTTTATTTAATGTAATAGTAGTTAGACGATACTAGTAACTTTTGCTAATTTGAAATAGCTAGCTATTTTTAACGCAAGTTATTTTTACTTTAAACCTCGTGCTGTTTTTGTTTTATTAATGTTTATACTCTACAGTTATGCAGAGTAAAAACATTAATAAAATATAATAATAAAATAATTTGGGGGGATAGGGCTGATATTGTAGGCCTAATTTTAAAATTAATTTGACTAAATTAGTAATGTAGTAGTTTATTTAAAATAGCTACTTTTTATGTACAATTCGCTTTAAAGAAGATCTACATGTCTTTGTTTCATTCATGGTGATAACATGAAAAATATAGATTAGTAGATTAGTGGAAAATTGCTGCTATCTACAGAAAGACAAACACTGCAAATCAAGCAAAAAAAAATATTTAGGAACTAATAATTTGTCTGCAATGAACACAAAATTACTGTAACAATCAAATACTACAAAAGTAAAGGCTTAAATATATAATTTATGTGAATAACAGTATGTATGTTTTGGACAATGTTAAAGGATTATATCTTTATTTATTTATTATATTATTTATTATATTCTTTATATATGTTCCATAAGTGACTAAATATTTGAAATTCCAACAAATTTCAAAATATCAATGTTTTAATACACCTTTTTTCCCCGCAATTATTTACTTATATATTTATTTCAATATCTGATTTCCATCTGAACTCAAAGAACAGCAGCGGTGCACATTTAAAATGTAAATTTAAAAAGTAGTCATGTCAGCATTAAATTCCTACTTTTTTTGAGAGAAGCTTGAAAGAACTAAGCTAAAACTCAATTTTACTCAGTAATAGTTTTACTGTTTCAGGGTTTTACTTATTCAATAAGTGCAGAGATATAATTCACTATGATTTGAACACTGTGTAGCTTCTGTTCCCTTTCAAGTACTGATATACTAGTTAAGGTCATTATGCTGTTCAACATTTTTCTCATATACTAGCTGGTTTCTAAAAGCCATTGAGCAAGAATGCCCAGGGAAAAACACAAAATACACCAGCTAATGTGATTACTGATGATTTCTTACCACCCAGTGACAGCCATGTAAAAGCCATCTACAATACTGCACATATTACAGCTCTAGAAATGAAAATGATGATAACAAATTACCCATATGCTTTGACATCTAATTCACATCATGTCTGTTTTTCAGTTCTGATGAATTTGCATAACACTTTTAGTTTGTAGGTTAGCTCTATATTAGTTATAAAAATAAATAAATAAAAATCTTCAGGAATCCAAAAGCCATTGTGAAATCAACTGACATTTTGAATAAACCTGACGTCGTTACACTATTGACAATAGACAATGTAAATTTTTGCCCACAAAATTTCCCTCAAAAAGTCGTATTTCTAAACTAGGCTATTCCAACGCTATCTCACGACCAATTCGTACGAGTGAGTATAAAGTGGCTAATTCCTAAACCCCAGGGTAGGTAATTCGTACGAATTCATACTAATTGGGCAACTCGTAAAATATGTACGATTTAGCAAAAATCTTACAAATTCCTAAGAGTGAGGTCGTATGAATTAGCCGCCTCGTAAAATAATCCAGGTCTATGAATCCATAGTTCTCATTTGCAGATGAGAATATTTACATTTTGAAACACCATCACTGGTCAGGTGAACATAAACTAAAGGCATTTGGTATCAATGACATCAAACCCTCTAAAGATGGCATTTGTTTGACCACAAGCATGTATTTTATGTTATATGTCGTGAGCTCTGCCAGATGGGAAAAAGTAAATGACTACTTAAATGTGGGTCCATTTTAAAAATGGAATATAGCACAAGTCCGCTTTTAAAATATCTTTTCCTGACACTTTTTAAACTCGTCAAGATCTTTCCCCATTTACTTTCATTGTATGAAAAAAACAACGCTATCTCACGACCAATTCGTCCGAATTTGACGAGTGATTAAAAGATGGCTAATTCGTACGAATTCGTACGACCTCACTCGTACGAATTTGTATGATTTGTCTAAACCCACGTGATGGGTAGGTTTAGGGGCGGGGTCAGGGGTAGGTCATTCGTACGAATTCATACGAATTGGGCAACTCGTCAAAATGTACGATTTAGCCAAAATCGTGCTAATTCGTACGAGTGAGGTCGTACGAATTGTTACGAATTAGCCATATTTTAATCACTCGT